TACACACTGTCAATACCAGTCACCCTAAACTTCTCAAAGGAGATACCAGCCTGAACAGAACAGATCATGGTGGTATAAAAGCTGTGTTGAAGTGGAAGAGCCAACAGCCCTGGAGTCAGTATTAGGTACCAATTGCTTACCAGCCATGTGATCTGAGTAGTTATTTATCTCTATAAGCCTGGGTTACCCTGTCTACCATAACAGATATTACCACCTACTCTCTAGGATTACTGTAAGGATGAAAGGTGATTTGTTTATTTAAAGCGTCTGATAGCATATTGGCCATAGTAGCTAGCCTGTGTCCTGTTTTTTTCCTATTTGTATATAACCTCCCTTAAAAGGAAAGAGGAAAGGATGTAGTTGGTATTCAATGTATTTATGACCCTTGCTGGCTAATTGACCTAGCTCGACCTGTCCAGGTCAGAATCTAGTGGTACCGATGTAAATCAGAGGACACACATTTTTAATCACAGAAACAGCAGTTGTAATGACACTGAAGATGAGTACCTGGCTTGAGTCCAAGCTTTACCCAGATAATACATGGAAAGGTACATGCTTGGTTTGCTTTCTTCTTGGTATATTGTCCCCTCTTCACCAAGGGCAGGGCTACCCCTAGCATGACATATATATTAGTGATTCTCAACACTTTTTAAGTCTTAGGCAGACACTTCAAAGTTTAAAAGAATGGCAGTGGAGTAGGTCTGTTTGACATGAACATGGGAGCCTCAGAGCACCACAGGTTAGCTGTCCAATCACTGCTGCCCTCTCCAAGACTTCAAGTGTCTCCTCAGAATCTTCAAGTTCCCATGAATAGGTTGAAAACCATCAGTCTAGATGATCTTAATAAAGACTAGCACTCACTAGGCAGACTTCCTGAACCAATGAGACACTGAGGTGTAGGCTCCATCAAGAGGCCCTTCAATACTTCACCTAGCTGTGACTTGGGAACTGGATGTGAGGTATAAATGGGATGTGGTAAGGTGGTGATAAAAAGAGGGGGGGAGGGGAGTACAATGTCCTGGTACTAAGAATGTAAGATTTGGAGTCATACAACCTGGATCCTAGTCATAACTATGTACCTTTTGGCGAGTCATTTTACCTCTCAGGTCTCCTCTAGTCCCCTCAGATGCCTACATCTCAGAGTTATTAATGAAAAGCGCTTATGTATGTTACAATTCCATAGTAATCCTAACAACTATTCTGAGGCAGATGCCACACCCACTTTTTTTTTTTTTTTTTAACAGCAGAGGATACTGACTCACAGAAGCTAAGTGTCCTGGTCAGCATCACACAGCTAATAAAATGTTGAATGAGCCCACATTTATCTTATTTCCAAATCCAAGAGTCCTTCTAGGTTCTGGTCTTCTGTTAAGAATGTTTGAGAGGACCAGTAGTCCTTTTTGTGAAGTGTAAAGCTTTATTCAGACAATAGTCCTCACTAATGCTGTCGGGGAGGGAGATTAAGGAAAGCCTCTCAGGAAACTGGCTGATTCAAAGGGAAAGGGGGACGTGAGCTGGAGGGCATCGGTTCTGGGAGGTAAAAGGGAGGTGGGGCTATCTGATATGCAAACATCCCCCGGGACTCTGAGCAAATACACTTCAGGAGGAGACAACGGGATGGGATGAGGCCGGAGAGGAGATCAAATCAGATAAAGTGTGACTCGACCTGGCCGGCACAGATCCGGTCTCCTCTCGCTCAGATCAGCAACCCTCCACCCACCCGCTGCGAGTCCAGAAGCTCTCTTAAGCAGAGATGTCAGCGTCTCTGCCATCTCTCATCCCTCGCTCCGCCCCACATGCCCGCCGTAGGGACCGTGCGCGGCCGCCGCCAGTCCTCCGGGACCGGGTCCAGGCGGTCAGCCAAAGCCCATGCCCCAAAGTTACCAGTCCTCCTCCCCTGCAGCAGCAGACGCAGACGCCGCCATGTCCTCTCCGGCCCACAGCCGGAACCGGAAATATTCTCGGGGAAGTCGGAGGCGGAAAGTTAAGCGCGGGAGGCAGTGTGGCTGGGGCCGTTTCTAGGCAACCTCAGACTCCGGGTCCTTAGCGGGTCCTGACGGCCAAGAGACGGTTCGGAAGTGCCTTAGGAAGTGCCTACGGGCGGTCCACCGTCTCCCCCAAGACCTCTGCATGCCTTTGTCCTCTGAACCTCTGACTAGTTCTAGCGAGTAAAAGTGGTAACAACTGGAGTCTCAAGAGACCTTCAGTGAGGGTGGAGAAGAATTATAAGTCAGGCAAAGTACGCAGGCAGCCAGAAGGGGCAGTGCTGAAGGCCGAGGCCAGCATCCCTCGGCCTGAGGAGCTTGAAGCTCCTAGGCTGGGGGTGAGAAAAGGGCTCCGGTCTGCAAAGAGCGCAGGCCGGGGCAGGGGGG